TTCTGTTTCTTTTCAACTGAAGCACAGCAGCAAAAAAGAAAATTTTTTAGAAAGAAAAGAAAGATAATTACTCTTTGCCTTTTTGGGAATTCTGCTCATTTTATTCTTAAAAAAAATGAAAATAATTCTTTTTCATTTCCAAACAAAATGTTTCAGAAGAGGTCTTATTGAAAAAAAAGGTTAGTTTTCAGATCAACCATGTACTTAGATATTTTCATGTGACCATGGTTCAAAAGGAGGGGCAGTTACATCCTCTATTTCTCTTAGATTTTTGAAACCACATTATAACCCACTAGTTTCATGTGTAGTTTTATAACAAATGTGACTTCCTGCATGGCTTTCAAAGATAAACCCAGCTAAAAAAAAAAGTAAATCTTTCAATCTTAAGGAAAACCTTAACATAATTTAAAAGATCTATCTAGATATAAATATAGATAGATATATATTGTTTTTAATGTAAGAGTGACGTGTGGCTTCTGGTCTATATGTTCTTTTTTCTTTGAAGACTAAATACCAACAGCACAATATGCAGAGCCTTTGTCATAAAGCTTTTCTCCCCCTCTACAGTCAGCTTTGGGTCCGTTGTTCTTATCTCAGAGACAGCTCAAGGGGCAATTTCTCAGGCTCTGCTGGGAAGCAGTCCCAAGCTCCAGCAAGGCCCACATCTCAGAGGCTGGTCATGGTGGTTTGGACAGCACAGGCACCAGCACTGCTGTGCATTCCCGCGTTCTTCGCATTGCGCTCGTGGACGAACGCGGGGCACTGTCCGTCCGCGCCGCGGGTCCTCGGCGGGGCCCACGCGTCCCACGCGCTTCCACCACGGAGACACCGGTCGGCAGCGTCAAAGAGCCTGGAGTGTTGGGGAGCGGGAGGGGGCACAATTAGTAAACGGGCACGGAGGAGGAAGAGGGTGGAAAAGTAAGGCAAAGGTAAAGATAAGGAGATCGATGGGAAAAGATGAGGAAGAAGGGCATTGCTGGGAGGTAAACGCCGAAGGAAGAGGCATGCGATGTACGTGTATGTGAGGACACTGCCAAATAAACCCCTTTTCTGCACAGTATCATGCACATTTTTGCACAGTTCTGAAATGACAAGTTAAGCTCTCTCATGTATACATTGCCTCCACTTACCAAATGAAAAGCGCGTTATATTTCAAAGTGCTTCACAAAACTGAGTAAGAGCTGTGTGCGTTTTACAGATGGGAGGAAATAACACAAGAGAGGAACAGGCCTGCCAAATATACAGCATACTTTGTTTGCAGAAAACAAGTTTAAGTGGCAGGTCTAAATGTACAGCTGAAACCAACATCTGTAAGCAATATCAGTTTTCAAAGTCACTGGAAAATGCAGATTCTAATGCAAGTTTCAAAAAGAAAAGGAGAAGAAAATAGAAACTCAGAAAAATGAGCATTACTGTGCAGGAAAAAACAGTAGAGCAAACACAAAGAATTCACAATTTAGGTGACTAAGGGACTAATACTACTGAAGAAGTTGACTGCAGCTATGACTTGGATTAGCATAAAAAATTTAGTTGGAAAAGGACCATTTTACAAAAGGTCACAATACAAACTAAGATCTTGCTTTCTAATTTTGCATATGAAGGCATAATGGTTTGTAAATTTTAAATTTTAAATTACTAAAATCAAACCCACAGAAATGCCATGCACAGTTATGGCTAGTCTATACCATAGTTGGAATAAGGTCCTCCAAAAGCTAGAAAAAAAAGCAAGGGAGAACACTCACCACTTTAAACAGTGTTTTGAAAAATATTTTTATGCAGGAGCCCTTAGCTAGGAAACTGAAAGGCTTTAGGCACAAGCATCTCCAAAGCAGCAAGGATAAGCAATTTACTGAAACAGCTGAATTTTAAAATACTTAAAAAACGGGCGATGATCAGATGAACAGATAACAGATGTTATCTGTTGTCTGTGTAGCACTAGGATCCTTCACTGGTATGTTTTAGGAGAGGTTGATGTGAAGGTACAGTCAGGTATCAAAAAAGTGCTTGGAAGAAAGCACTTCATAAACTATTGAAGCAAGGACATTCTTAAAACAAAGGTATTCCTTCAGCTTAATGTAGAAGACTCTACTTAATGAGCCAAATCTAAACAAAGTGAAATGATTGTTGCTGTTCACATAGAGGGGTCAGACAGCCTTCAGCTCAAATTCCACCTTCTCATGTTCCAGAACAGCCAAGCAGCCAGAGCAGGAGCTGGAAGATCACAGTGTTAAGGCAGGGAAGCAGAAAAGCATGCAGGATTCTCAACAGTGGTAAATGATTAATGTTCAGGGATAGTTCTCCTTTAGAAAAGAGACAGGTTTTATATAAAGGTCCTCCATGGGTAAATTCAAAATTTTGGTTTTTGTGAAATATGCCAAGGGAGTGATCTGTACATACTGAGGGCTCCAATCCTCAACAGTTTGTCACATTTTTTTCCTATCTCTTTCATGTATGCAATTAAAGGAAAGCTACATCCAACAGCAAGCAAAGAAAAAAAAAAGAAAAAAAAGAAAAAAAAAAAGAAAAAAGAAAAAAATCCCCTACTTATTCCACAATAAGGATGAAAATATAAAACTTTTGTGTCCTGTCCTATCTTGGCACAGAAAGAGCTTCTTGGAAAAAGACTAAACTTAGAATGACACAGTTCATGTTTTAGGCTTCCCAGACTTGCAGAACACTTTCAGATCCTGCAGACCAGTACAGCTTTCCTGTACTGACAATTTTACAGGAATGGAGTAAAGTTAAAAAAAACCAAAAACAAACAACAAAAAATCCCACACTAAAATCCTTCCTATCTGGCAAAGTACTTTCTACAATCTGGCACAATTGCTGTTGGCAGCTGCAGCATTAACATTTTAAATTAAAGGAAACATTGACATTAGGACGGATCTAAGCTGCAAGGTAGCCAGTACAGGCATCTGCCAAGCAGAGCACGGAAACTCATGAGGTCGGGACCTTACTTCTAAACTCCTTCAATCCAACTATCTACCAAATCCACAGTCCAAAAGATTTTGGTGTTCTCAACAATCCTTGGCAAGCTCTCTCTAAAAGAAGACTATTTTTCTGACAGAAAGCAAAGGTAATTCATGCAGAAACAGGCCAATTAAAGACAGTAGCAGTTGGAAGGAAATCCTGTTAGCAGCACCGAGACACCCTTGCAGGTGCAATAGCCAAGTCACAGCCCCCGGCAATAAATACATATGTTCTGGCAATTTTATTAACCTAATCCCACTTCCCGTCTAGGCAACCAGAATGTAGCTCAATTGCTGACTCAGCTCCAAACTGTTGTCTTCTTCCTACAGCTGGATTTGCCCTTTATAACAGGCAGTACTGTTTCCAGTGGATACACTAAAACCAGAAGACAACTACTTTCAATAATAATTATATGGCTCAAAGACACACAACACATTCGCAGTACAAGCACTGCACTCTCAGTTAAAATGCATCAATTGCCAAGAAGCTTGTCTTCTTTACAACACACTGTTTTGGGTTACATGCAGGTGTATTTCACATTCACTCCCACTCTTCTATACAAAGGCTACATCCTGCAGCAGCTGGCATATAAGCTTAGATGCCTTGACGATGTTATGACAGACAGGCTTAAATTCTTAATCCTAAAACAGGCATACCAAACCCAAAACTGAAACAGACTGGCTATAGAGCCCTCTCTGCTTCAGAACAAAAGCAGTGAGATTTCAATAAGCAACAGCAGCCTTGCAAATACGAGCAGGAACAGTAGCACCAGTCAGATATCTGAGGAGAGCTGCTTGGAGCAAGAGTCAAACATCTCCACCAAAGGAAATACAGGTTTCTAGCACTCATCTTGCAATTAGGCCAAAAGAACAAAAATAAAACCATATTGAGAATGCTGAAGAATAAGGAGACCACCACCTTTCACCCACCACCACGGAAGGAATCGAGCGATCAACAGGATCCCACCATAGACAAGCACAGAGTTCAGATACTAGATAAATCAAGGGCAAAAGAAAGAAAAACAGCATTGATCATATGTTCTGATTGAAATTTCAATAAAATGCAACTCAAAGCAGAATTACCATTCCCCTTATCATCCCAAATCAGTAGTACGAAAAGTCTTTAAATGAATACAGTTTATGAAATTAAAATACATCTGTCATTGTACTGTTAGAAACAGCTATCATCTACTTTTAAGAGATACTGAAGCAAAGCAGGTTCATATGCCTGACAATGGTAGAAAGGCTTTTTCTCTTGAGGGCTGAAACTGCTTGGGATAAGAGCTTTTGTGTCACTCCATTCCACTGTTACTGCTCCTGAGGAGTCTGGCAAAAGCCAGAATTATCCTTCTGGGATAAGCCATATTGCCTCTGAAGGCACAAGAAGCTGAAGAAGTAAAGATGACATGTGCACAAGAATTGGGTTGATATATGTCAGTTTCGGTTTGAAAATAGCTCTGTAATATAGAATTAATTTAAGAAAAGTTAAATGATATGTACATTTATCGATCTTCAAACAAATCATCCTCGTTTTGAGATGCATCCAATCCATAAAACAAATACTATGACTACATGAAATCAAAGCTCTTATCTTCAGCTTGTGTCATTTTCTTCAAGCTCCCATTCTTCCCAAGGTCATGAGAAAAGCCACCCATTTCAAAAGGTTCAAAAGTGATTCACAAAGATACCAGTTTACAAGATTCTGTATTATCCTAAGAATCAAGGTAAGCCCTTGGGCCCATGATACCAAGCAAAAGGTTACAAAGGATATTGTGGCAAATGAGAAGGACATAGCTCTCTCCAAGACTTGAAAATGCTACTTCAGCCCGTGAAGAAATTTTCTTTTGTTTGGCAGTGACTAAGCCACACATAATTCATAGGAAAAAATCAGCTGCATGATCACTAAACTTGATTGTCAACTTACATAAAGATACAAGGAGAGCAGCTTACTTAAGTACAGATAAAGGAATAGCTACTTGAATCATGCATAAGCAAACAAAATCCACTTCCCAGCAAAGCAGAACATACCACTTCTTGTCTTGCTGGCTGGCTCCTGGGCTCCTTGGGAGGTTTTCTATTTCCACTAAGACTGGGGTGGAAGGAACCGCTGTTACGACAGGTAGGTTTGGTTTTGCATTCCAGTTCTTTGGAGACAAAATATAAACAAGTTATTATACACAATTAATGACATGATGACATGCTAAAGAGAACAAAACAGATCACCACTCCTTATGCACGAAACTAAAGCAAGGCCATTGTCTTCCCTTACTTCCATAGCACTGGATACCTATGCCCAGTCTTTTCCAGTACTGCACACAGTACTGGGATCATAGGGAATCCAAGGCTGCTCAAAGATTCTGATAAAGAGCTCTGGCCTGCTGTGTCCTTTTTAAGTTCATGTAGTAATGCCTTCCTTCTGTAGGAAACTTTTTAATAATGATTGGCACCTTTGTGTTGCATGCCTTTGGGCTGCCATTTGAAGCATAACAGCTCCTGAAAAAAAACACTCCTTTTGCACAGAAGGCAAAATGCTGGGCAGAGTAGCAATCTATCAGTGAAAATTGAGTATTTTAATATTAAAACAACCCAAAATCTTGTTTCCACCAATATGTGACCCCTCCTGGTGCACTCTTCATCTGAAATGCTCCAGAAAGCTAGACATTGTCTCTCCAAACTCCAAGTCTTTTTTTTCTGATACACAGAGTTACTTTACACTAACATCATCCATTTTCAGTGAAACAGGATATTCTATGCACAAGTACTGAGGAGACAGGTATCTCTGATTTCCTTCTCAATTTCAGAAAACAAAGAATTTTTGCTAACAATGTATTCTTTAATTTATAGGTGCATTCCCCTCTTTCAGACAAAAAAATACTGTCACCAGGAGCAACATAGGTGCTAATGAACTACACCTCCACCTTTTTTTTTTAATTTTAATTACCATATAGAATTAATGTGCTTTGGATAATAACAACTCCCCCACAAAAGTACTTTGTGTACCTATGAAAATCTGTATCTATAAATAGTGTCATTTCTAGAGTACTGGGGCAGGAGGTATCTTCCTTACTCCAGCTAAATTAACCAATTATCTTGCTCGTCAATTAGCAGTCATTTCTTGGTATGCAATTTAGTAAGTTAACTGTTTTAACTTTCAATTGGTCAATCACTGGATTTTAAGAGCAAATAACAAAATTCTCACATCTGTTGAAACACATTAAAACTACCTTTAAAACCAAGGAAAGAGAGTCCTTACTTGTGATCCATTAGTTTGGCTGATAACAGCATTGTTTGCAGTACTGAAAGACAAGAACAATTTAAAACTGAGTCAGATCAACAAACTGCTTTTGCAGACTGATAGAACTGTAAAGATTTTCAGAAAGAAACAAGAAGACTAACAAAGATATTTTCAAAGTATTTAACTGTTCTCACAAAGAAAACTGAAAAACTTACACTTTAAGTCAGCTGTCTCATTCTATGTAGCTAAGGGTACCACATTATTTTTTATTTGTTCAAGCTGTAGTTTATCTGTAACTCATCTGGTTTTTCCTCTTCCTTGCCTTAACTAGTTTGGTTTAAAAAGCCTTCCTAATTCAGCAGTAAAGTGGGGTACGTTTAAAGCAAAAATTATACAGTTTTAGTTAAAGTCCCAGCAAATACAACATTGTTTCAAGTTCACCTACATGCTGTAGATACTATGTTCCATAACTAGAACCCTTCTGATTTGAAGCTTCACATCACAAAGTTTATCACAAAAATTTATGAGTTTGTTCTGCATACAGAATGGACTCTAATGGACTTAAAAAGCAGCTATTCAAAGTTTGTGCACAGCAGCTCAGCACAGCATTAATAGTAATTCTATATTATTAAATATTTATTGTATTTGATAAATTAAATATCTATTCTTGATGATTTTTGAATCTGCAAGAGACATCTCACATTTTCAAGAGATTTAAAAGCATTATACCTTATACAATAACTATGCATTATAAATCATGCAAAGCAAACTTTCTCCCCAGACTTCTAATCTTCTAAAAAAAGGTTCCAATCTCCTACGATCCATTAATCTGCTGATTTATGGTCTGGACAATAATTATCCAATCTGGCAAGGTGACAATTCAAACAGATTTCTGTATCTACTTCAGTGACTCTTTAGAACTATTTTATTTAAAATACCATAACGTCAACACTGAACAAGCTGTTCCTTGTCTGTTCCCTACTCTGTCCCTTCTCTATTCAGAGAATGTGGAAGCTACCACAGAATAGTCCACATTTAACAGAAATATTAAGGAATGCCTTCTGGGTAGTACCTTCCCCTGTGCTGAGTTAATACAGAAGAATGGAACAACATACATCTTTCATGATGCATTTCAATTAGCAACACTGAAGTGTAGAGTTTCAGAAATGGCACAGCTTGCTGTGGAGACTAACAACAGTGCCACACCTAGGTGCAGATCAGGAGACTGCAGTCTTATCAGAAGAAACTGCTCATGAAGTTTCTCTTTCCACTCTCAGAATGACCTAAGCAGCCTGAAACTCGGAGAACGGCTTGACAACATAGCATGATGAGAGTAGTCATTAATCAAATAGTTGCATTTTGCAGCAGAGGATCTTCGAGCACTCTAATGACACCCAGTTTGGAAGAATACTTTCTCATTTTATAAAAATAAAAAACAATACAGGATGTCAAAGAGAGCAACTGTCGCCTTGTCCCCACACTTCTCAGACTTCTCCCCATCTCATGCAAGAATCAACCCTCCTGCTACAAACAGAAAACGTTCAGCTGTATTGAGCATGATGTTTTGAAATGTTATTTTGACATTCCTTGCCCAGTTCGTCACGGTGCTTAACATCTACGAGCACTTACTTTTTAAAAAATAATACGGTTGCAATTAATCATTGTGATGTTCATAAGTTATTAGGGCAAAGGACAAAAACCAGAACTGAGTGACTTAGTTCCTTCACTATCAGTGTTCTTAGTTCCTTTTAGGCTTCATACCTTAAGGAAGGGTATGAAAACTGTGTGATTCAGATACATATGAGTAATTTACATTGCAACAGCAAGTATGAACTTACACATCCAGGAAGACCTTCAGTACAGAAATAAAGAACCAAAAGGCCTCCCGCTTTAAATGTTGATCATGAATAAACATAAATACTTAAGTATATAAAAATAAATGCAAATATTGTATAGAATATAAAATCACTACCCTATTTCAAATATTTATTTTACTCTCTTTTCTCTGTGACCTTCACTTGATGATGTATTTCAGTCACACAGCCAGAGGAGGCAGATTCCAGAAGGAAGACATTCTCACACACTTTTTCCTGATCTCTTTACATGGCAGCACACAGAACTACAATTCATATCCAGCAAGAATCATAGCTAGTCATAAACAAACTTTTCTGTCTGCTAGTAAGCAAGTCTGGCAAAATTATCTATGTGATGACAACACAAGAGCTTTGCTTTGAACGGTGGTTTTTATGTAAAGCAAACAAACACAATACCCATGGCAAAATCACAGTTAAGAGGCTATCACTGTATATCCTCCTTCTGCCCACACATACCCAAGTACAGGTGGCAAACATCAAAGAGAGAAACTCAAATACTGGAATGCACCTTACCTCGTTTCTTCCAGTTTAGCAGTGTGTGCTGCAAAAATATAAAGCGTTAATTAAAATTTAATTTATAATTAGGTTATTAATTAAATATTAATTATATGATTAATAAAAATAACCTAGCACTGCCTAAAAGTAGGCAACCAAAAGAATAAAAGTTGCATGCATCCCACATAAATCTGAAGAGCAAACCAAGGAGTCAGACTTAAGTAAGTGTCTGAAAGCAGACATGGCAGTCACACTTGACCTGTGCAAGAGTAGGAATAAGAGACAAAGTATCACATGCTGTCAGGTTGTGACAACAGACTGCAACCCCCAACAACAATAAAAAAAGCCTCAATGACAAAAATTTTTAAGTCTATTCATAAATTTCAAGTATTATCATTAATATATCACTGCTTCCTGGACCCAAGTTTTCCATCTTCATACTGAGACCTACTGTGCAATCTTCACGGGTGTTTTACCTGCAGAGCAAGCTGGAATGACATGCTTTGGAAACAAGCTCTTTCTAATAAACACACACGGTCTCCTAAATAAGTAAAAGAAAAACTAATTTTGCAAATTCAAGAGAAGGGCAAACAGCTACAGAAGGATTCCTACACAGAACTTTTACAGGAGATGATTACTTCATTCTCACATTGGATTATACTTCTCAGAATGGAAGTTCTTTTACCTTTCATTTGTAGGGTTCGTCTTGAATATCTCTTGCTGGGCCGTCTTTCAAAGGATGCTGATCTCCTGGCTTTGTTGGTCTTGGTGGTTTGATATTCTGTTTTCCCACTAAAAATGCCATGCAAAAGTATAAAGTAATAAATCACTTATTTTTAATGATGGAATAGAGACACTGCTCATCAAAAACATCACACTATTTTCAATTTGTAGCCTAATATCTGATCTCAGTTCTATTAAAACACCCCAAAATTCACACCTCAAAGGGTCTTTCATAAAAGAGGGAAAGAGTTTTACAAACATTCTAATATTCACCCCATTCCTAAGACAAACGGTTGTAGTAATGACTCCTTAAACCTTAAGCTGTTGATAAAACACACTTGCCCTTTGCGTATTTCTGTGGTCACAGTGCTTGATGTTTGGGAGAGCCTGAAAAATGCTAGGAGAGAGTACAGCTTAAGTAATGTTGCTGAAGGTCATAAAGAAAGATGATAATAGGACTAAAAAGCAGCATCTAGATGCTCATGTTCCCAGATAAGTATTTCTTTCCAAGTTTGGCCAGACTCTACCCCCAGGGCAGTGGCACCCTCATGTCCTGCTGACTCCTCAGTACCACCGATCTTTTTTGAAGAAGACTACGTGGTACTGCTACAGTTGCTGGAAATGGAAGAAAAATATATGCACACTGCCTGGGGTCATGCCCCATCCCCTTCCACATGTTCTCACCAGCTCTGCTGGGGAATCAACACCGTCCTGCAGGCTACTCTGCAATCACAAGCCATTCCATAGACTGTTACCTGCACTAGGTAGTGCCTTACACAGAACAGGCATTATGTGAGGCTTTTGAAGCATTACCACCCCTCAAACAGCTGGGAACTCAGGAGTCAAAAAACTTGCAATGTCCCCAGCTGTGCAAGTTAATCATCCATCCTCTATGGTGTGTTTAAAAAAGTGTGGCCTTCCAAGATAAAGTGATCTTTGAAACACAATGTACTACATATAAGGAACATAAACCTTGAGAAATCCATATGATTTAATAAAACCAATAATACAACTCACTCAGCTGGCAAGTTTCACTGTCCTAGATGAAAGAAAACCAAGTTCTCCCCTGTTTTCCTGCATAATCCAAGCAGGGCAGTAACTGGCAGAAGAGATGTGCTAAATGACAGACAACACTGACCTGTATCGGAACCGAGACCCCAACCGGATGAAGCCTGATCGACTTGAGCTCTTTTGGACAGGACCTCGGAGCCGGAAGAAGGCATGATGTTCCACTGCACATTTCCACAAGTGTTTGCAGGCTTTGGGATGATCCAGTCTAAAGACAAAAGTGTGCTCCTGCTCCTTTCCCTTAAAGCACATAAAGCACACTGACGACTTACAAAGGGACTAAATAAGTCAAAGCTACTATTCCCTGCAACCCCAATAAAATTTGGGTCCTATGAATACTGAAATATATGTTTAAAAATATTTTAGGTAGAAATATCAATTTTTTCAGAAGCTTTAACGAACAACTGCTTCGTTGTCTAAAGTTGGAAAGGGCTAGGGAGTCCATATATTTAAGAAGTCAAACCTCTGAATAACTTCAAATTAAAGACACCATTACAATAGGAAGGTATTTCTCAATCAGGCTAACATGGTTTCACTTCCAGAATGGATCTCCTCAAATTACCAATGCTCATTTTTTTATTGTCTCTGTTCTATGCAATTTCTTTCCCATGGGAACAATTCTGGAACCTGCTTAAGGAATTAATTGCACTAAATGTGGTACATGGTCTTTTTCTAAACTTTTTTGTGCAATGCACACTCTTTCCGAAGTATCTGGTCTAGTTTCACAAGGCATTCCACTTTGAAAAACGGGTGAGAAAAAAAGTAATTAAGTCCATTTATTTTTTACTTAAGTCCCTTCATTTCCCGCCTCCCCCAGCAAGTCACATTAAAAAATCTCGCAGGCATCCATGTTAATTCTCAGAAATTAAATACAGAGATCAGGAGTATGTAAACTAGTGCTGTATAAATAAGACTGAGATACAACTAAACAGATATTTATCCACCTGTTCATCATCTTCAACAACAACCAGAGTGAGTTTGTTTTTCTTGAAGTCAAGCCTTGTTATCTTTGGCCTGCAAGATGAACAGAAAGTGCAGGTTACGTCTAACTCTCTTAGGAACTCACTGAGAAGGTACCTAATATTCACAGAGCTCTCATATCCCAAACATAAATTTTTCTTCTGTTATTGCAAAAAACCACAAAGAGTAAAAATCTAAAATACATTTTAACATACATCAGAGAGCTTACCAGAAAAACAAACCAATCTTTGTGTCTCCTTCAAAGACAAGAACTCCTGTAGGTGTCAGTCCCAGGCTGTAATCATTGCCATCTCTTGCCTAATTGCCAGAAAATACAGATTATATTCATTTTGCTGTTTGACCCTTTATCCAATTTACTCCAGTGGATCATGCAGTTTATTTGCCCAGTGTTACAATTACACACATATCTGCTAATAAAACAAAACCCTCATGTTTCGATGATCTCATGCACTGAATTTCTTCAGTTTACAACTCTTCGATAAGGTTGACTAAAGTGGAAAATTAAAGTTTCTTGATTTGTCTGTGTAATAAGGACCTCCTTATGCAGTTCACTGCACTTCCTTCTCCACAGGAGATCTATTTTTACTTGTAGTTCTTCAACTGGCAGCTGATTGGACCCCAGCCAATTTTAATTACTAGGATTTTTCACAAAACTCTTAGTTAAATACAACTGTAGCACATATTGCCACACCAATCACATATTTAACACAGAGCAGATATGCCTGGACTAGAGATACCCTCTAGAAATGTATACCAAAGAGTGTAATGTTGACACAAAGCCAGATCACTTGTTACAGAGATTGCATGAGTACAATATTCCCTTTTTCCCCCCCGTCAAAGTAAAACCCGTGTTGAAATGCAGCACAAAGCCAACATTATCATTTCCAAAGGTCACCATGCTGTGGCTAAACATACCTTGACTATGTGCATGTCTACACCATACATTTCCAGCCACTTAGCTTTGTTTAAGTAGTTAGTTTCAGCCTGCGCTGGAGTTTGTCCCCTGAAATAAAATTTTTGCTGTTAGGAAGGTGCCTGAAAAAGCCAGAAAGGAAAAACCGGTATATGAGAAAAGAGGAAAAGAACTTTGCAAAAGTTTGTGAAAAACCTAAACACTGCTGACACTTGTGTGCTGTCATGAACACCACGGTCACTTCTGTAAGTTTTAATCTGGAACCGCAGCTGCAAAAGTTCCTGCATTTCAAGGTTTTGTATCTCATCATTTTACTCAGACCTTTGAAAAGCTTCATTTTTCACATTATATCCACTTACAGAATATGACAGAACCATATTAAAATTATATTTCTGAACAAAACCACATAAGAAAAGTCAGCAGCATCTTTTTAATACATTCTTTTCACAGAAAAGTCAGTGCAAACAGCTGGGTAGCATTCACTGGAAGATCTAGTACCTGCATTCCTTCCACTTCTCAAAAACAGCTAGTTCCATCTCTTCAGTCTGAGTGGGAACAAACCTGAACTCAGACACCAGTTCAGGGACATGTTCAGCAGGATCATAGTCTCCAAGTTCAGCTACAAAAGAACAGCATGGTTAAACACTGTTCTCAACAGACACAGTGGATATTTCTGCATACAGTGGAACTTCTGTAGTTAATCTAAAATACTAAATTTCTTCTTGCATTCCTCCCTTCTCCTCCAGTTCTCCTTATTTTTGAAGTGTCACCATCTTTGACAGGGAAATTATGGACACTGAACAAATGGCTGTGTGGTCTGCACAAAAGCTTTGTCTTAATTTTTACTAAGTGCTATTGACATATTCCTTAACAAGCCTCCTATAAAGAAAATTTATCACCATCCTTGAAACTCACCTTTTTTCTGATTTGTAGAAAGTTTTCAGCATTTTAATCACTGAATTATCTACTGAAATGACAGCTGACTAAAGTTGCAATGGAATTTTGCCTTAAGTTATTAAAAAACCAAATCTCTTGAGATTTATAAAATGCAAAACCAGTTCTGACACTTTTCATAAAACTATCTGTCCATTCTAAAGATCAATTTCTGGTTTTATGATTCAATATCCCCGTCCTGCTAAAATTACTCTGTGTCAGGGCACAATCATGCAGCTGCTATTTGTCGCTCTCCTTTTCATCTCAGAACATGATAAATGTCCTACAGGGTCAGTCAAATGGTTCATCTAGTCCACTGCTGCATGCTCAGAGGGGCAGTGAGAGATGCTATTTACAGAGCATATTGGAACATACTAGTCAATGGGTGTGCCACATCAAAAGCACAACCTCCATTTTCCACAGATGTGGAAAGTCCAGCTTTTAAAGATAGATATGTGCCTAAATGCTGAAACTCACAGCTGGACCCCCATAAAAATAGTCTTGATTTTCAGAGTCACTAAGCACTTGCTCCTCCCACTGATTTCAAGTTGCTTCTTAATGTTCAGCTCATATCAAAAAAATTAGGAATAATTCTGTAATTTGAAGCTTGGGAGTCTGATACAGGCCAATAACTGCTCTCTCTGAAAAAAGGAACTACAGATGTCTGTGTAGGAAAAAAACCCAGACATTTTAGTGAAGACCTGGAGAAGTCAAATAAGTGCACACAGTATTCCATAGGTACAGAAGTGACAAATGATCTAAAACCCTGTTTCTTGGATTTCTGAACACTGCAAGCATAATAATAGTCTTTTCACCCCCTCCTTTTTTTTTTTTTTAATGCTGACTGAGGAAGCCTGTAGTTCTATAATAATTTACTCCCACTAAAATGCCTGCCTCTGTTGAAAGGAATGCTGTCAAAGCCAGCTTAGGTTCCAGCTGATTTAAATAAAAGTACACAGCTGTCAGACAGTAAGATTAAAGCCCTGCTACGGACCTCATTGTGGAGAGAGGAAAGAAAAGACCAGCAAAAAAAGCAACGGACATATGGCCTAATTAGATCACTTTGTTTTTCCAAAAACTTCTTCACTGAACCTGTATCTTAAGGCTCTAACAATGGTAATTTTTAACCATGGAATGTATTCTAACTGTTTTTCTTCCGCACAAAAGAGCAGGTTAAAAAGGCAGGTAGCTTCACAGTTTAGTCCCAGCTCTCTATACCTATACATGATTAGGGCCATTAGGAGTTCCTGCCTGAAAAAAAAAAAAAGTGTTTTGGAAAATACTTGTAGCAGAAAGAATTTCAGTGATTTAGTTCTGTTACCTAACTCCTGCAGAGTAAGTACAACAGTGCATTGATTTATAAGATGAATGTGGTGTAGAGAATTTGTGCAGCACAAACACATGGCACATCTCCAAATTGCCTCTTCATCAGACAGGACTGTACATCAGCTTTACAGCAGAGGTTCCAGGATTTTTTGCAGACTCAAACTGGGTTGAATAAGGCCATATACCTATATCCTCCAATAAGGACCCAAAAGCCTACTCTAACAGACACTTGTAAAACTTCAAGCCTCTTTCTTTTGTAAGCTTCCCTGCTTGAAACCACAGCAAACTTCATATTTGTTAAAATCACACCCTCGTCCAAACAACAGAAGACACTGGCCAGGAAGATCAGTGATGTAGAACCTATAAAAGCAACTTAGGGTGAGACACAGCTCTCAGCAAAGCCATAGATGCTGGATTCTCAGCTGGAATCAAAAGTTAAAGACAACTCATTAATAAGTCTCTTGAGCATGGTGCAGTACAGCTGAGAAAAAAGACAGTATGTCTTGTGGCTGAACAAGGGTCTGAAATATCAACAAGCGCAGTTCAACCGTGAATGCTCAAGTATGAGCACGAGACATGTGGCACTAAGATGTTCCTACAAATAAGCTGAAGTCAAAATCTGATATTTTATATACAGGACTTTTCAGCCGAGTGCAGAACAAAACCAATTTTGTACCTCATTTGGACAACAAAAAAAAATCGTACAATGAAATAAAAGTGAGGTGTGTTACTACATCAAAGCAATTCAGGAAGACTGTAGACCTCATAACTCGTGTGAAAGTGGACAGGTTTGCACATAAGCACTCGAGAAAACAAGTTTAGGGCAAAGCTGTTTATTTTCTGAACCTCCTTGTTCTGTTTCAGAGAAATTGAGTAATTTTCTGCATATGCTCTCAGCACAGCCACAATCAAAAAGAGCTGTGTTTCACACTGGATCACTATTGTCTGGGCAGAATCTGTTTTCTGTATTTAAAAAGGATAGATTAAAAGAGTTAATAAGCTGCTCATGAAACTTCATCCTTCCCCTCTTGCACCTACTCACCTTGCATGTTATAAGCTGCCAACTGGACGGCTGTGTCAAAAGGACATTCCAATCTGCCGTAAGAAAAATGCATTGTTAAAGCCTGAACTGACAGTAATGTTTGTGATAAGAAAATGAAAAAGAATTAGTAGATTTTTAACAAATAACCAGGAGACAAGCATTACATTATTTAAGCATTCCTCTGCTGATATTCATGCATAGAAAAGTAGTATTTTAGAGAAAAAATAACATTACTAAGAAAAACTTACTAATTATCAAATAAAAGTTTAATGAATTCCATGCTAGACACACTGTATTGTTTAAAAGGTTGCTTACTTTCCACTAAGAATATCCAGTTTCAGCTGCAGAACAAATAAATACCTGCAGGATTAAATAAGAAATAAGTCATTGACTAATAGTTCTAATATGTCACTCAGCCAACAGGAGTAAGTTAGAGCTTGACAAACAAAAATGTTTTCTACTCTTTACATGGGTTTTCAAGACTATAGAAACTGTACTATGACCTTTCAAGGCTCATCAGTTGGGTATGTGCGTTTTGCATGGATTTCAAATGAAGGAAACCCAAAATGAGAAGTTGTCAAAAGCTGAACTACAGTGTTGCATCGAAAAAGAAACAGGATACCCAAGTAAATATTATTTTTTTTTCTCTTTTGTTCCTACTTGGGCAAAACCCGACTTGCATCTTCCGCATTTCCTTCATTATTCATAGGCATACCAATCTCATAAGAGAATGGTTATTTTAAAGTCTCACAAAAATAAATGCTTCTAATAGGGATTGTTTAGTTAAAATCTAACCCAAAAAGCTGACTGCAAAGTGAGAAAAAATAAAGAGTAGGTTGTGGCCTTTCCAACTTTTTACTGTTTAGAGCCAGCTTTCATTCATTGCCTTGCTTATTCTGTACTCTTCTCACTTAAAAATTGGGCGAATATTGAATACAAATCCCTTTGGTGTGCAACACCAATTCTTCCAATCCAATACCCACAAAGAGCAGCTCCTTTGCTCCATTATAGTACCCAGCTTTCCTCTGACAAGAGAAGAGCTCTCATCAAGGATAAAGCACTGGGATCTGTGACGGTATCCACTCTGAATTCTAGCACAGATGCCCAGAAGCCTTACACAACACCAAAGACAATGCTTCTGCTTCAACATGTGCCTGTGTCTCCTCATACTTACACACACAGACACAAAACAGATGCAGGTGTTTTTCCTACAGGTCCCACAGAAATTCACAAATACTTTGCCAAACCATTTATATTCCAAAGCCTTTTGAACACTAGCCCCTACATGGGGAATACACTTGTTTGGTACTGACCCTAGATATGGAAAGAATGAGCACAGTGTACAGTGGGTGTGACCAGTATGTGCTTATCAGCCACATAACACTTGCAAACAATTCAAGCACTTCCCATGCTGTGTTACATGACCTCTGACTGGCAGCATCTGAAGGGAAGCTGCCACAGAACATGAGCAAGCTGCACCTTGGAAGCTGAAAACTGGCTCCAGCTGGGTGTCCTGCTGCACAAGGGTGGAACCCTCAGAAAGGCCCCAGTGACAGTGATACCCCATAGCAAAGCTCTGCTTCCCACTGCTTCTGCTTCTTTAAGGTGTCAAACTGTCTCAAGGCAGAAGGAAGACTTGCTCTCCTGTTCTGGGGGGATTAGCTAAGCAGGCAGACAGGGTTTAAAAGCCCTCAGGTTTCAGGTCTGCCCTGGTAAAACCTGTATAGCAAAGTCTGACTGGCAGAACTCAGTCAAGGTGAATGAAAATATTTCACAGTGGTAGATACAGATGTAGGTCCAAATTTTGTTTACAGTTACTGTTTTTAAAGAGAGTTAAATGTTTATTTATTAACATGAATGGGGAAGTAAAACATTCTTCTCAGATCGGCAGGAAAGCATTAAAAAGCAGCAGTTATCACATTATGTTACCACATGTAAATATGAAGTTGCAAAGGGTACATATGGCTGTAAGGGGTAATGCTACTATAATCTTCCTGGTAGCACTCCCAGGGATTTGGCTAAAGTGCAGATTGAAGATCCACACAGACATAAACCTGAACAACAAACAAATACATTTCATGCCCTTACAAATGGCTTAGGGTATTAAATGTCCACAGCTATCACAAAAACATAACTTAAGGGATCAGCAGCAGTGGTAACAATACAAGGAAACATCACCTTTTGTAATAGATTTATACTGCAGACAGTTTGTTGTATTCTCTTTCAAAATACCCCAAGTATGTCTCAGTCCAACACGAAATGCAGTACTACAAATGGATCTGTAAAATGCTTTAATCAAGAGAAACTGCTGCTTACCTGATACTACAATCCTACACATACAGTACTGTCAACTTACTTGTCAACATGGCAGTAAAACACTATTTTCCCTTTCCATAAACTCTACAGAGACCACACAAGCAATGAAATGCTCACTGAACTTCACTTTTGCCAAAGAGAATCTCTAACTTGCAATTCAATGCTTTTCTGCCTAGAGACAGGATGACTGCATGCAGTTGAAACTAAATACAGCTTAAGAAGAATAGACAGAGCAGTAATGTCTGTTTTCTTCACTAAGAACCTCTGTCCATTGTGTATAAGCTACTCAGATCAGTTGCCAGAATTGTCTAATGAAAAACAGTGCATTAAGTAATATATAAATATTTAGTGCTCTTTATGTCACAGCTCATTCATTTCAAGATAGGTACATTACAAAAAGAGGGCAGCATTTACAAAAAGCCAAGTTAGCAAGCAGCTCTAAGGAATTCTCTGAAACATCATACAACTGTTTCAATAAGTACCACAAAGCATTTCCCTGGCCTTATTTGGGTACCTCTCTCTCACGTAAAATCCCTCTTACCTTGTTAGCTCTTCACGTAGATTATTGGGCTCTGATGAGTAAAACTTTACACGAAAATGCAGACAATACGGTGGGCCAACTGCGAAGCAGAATTCATTCAAGACAGCAGTAACAGTTACTGGATGAGACATGTCTATTACACAGAATCACATCACAAAACCTGACTGAAATTGGTTGGCTATGTCCTACCACAAAGTCTTAAGGCAGGAATTCCTTTGTGACAGGGAAATCCATGAAGAACATCAGGGTGAAAGGACACAAATATGCACATGAAATAGTTTTAAAAGTTACAAGTCAACCCAACAGTCATATCATGTTAACTTGACTCATCCTGCCAAGAGCACATGAATCTAGGTTAATCCCTATATTTAAGGACTATCCATCACCAAGAAAGCTGTGCATCTTGGCTCTGCAGTTGACTAAACCCTCAGGCACACTGTTGGTCTCTGCAACACCTTCCCAGGGCTCTGGAAAATACTCACTGCTGACATCTCAGGCCCTTCTATTCCACAGAAGTTTAGACATATTTTATAGGGACTTAAGAGATCCTTCTACTGAAGAATCATCTTTTCTGGAAAGCAAAGAGTTAATTCAGCAAAAGGATGGATTAACAGTTCTTTAAAAATGTGCAGCGCTCTGCTGATTCTTGCATTTGACAGGAGGAATTTCTTTCTCAGTGCTTCCAAAACCTCTGTTGTATTAACACAGCACCACAAGTCCCTGAAGACTTCCCACAGTGCAGAGCAAGGAAACTGCTAAACAACAATCAGCCAATGCCACAGCTTACCCAAGCCACAGTACTGAAACAACCAGGCCACACTAAAGGCTTGTGCAGCAGGTAAGTACTTGGTGGACTGAACACAGATTCGGGCATTCAGGACTGCTCCAAGGGATGGAGGCTCCAAGACACATTTTCCTACAGTCAGGATAACAATCTCTAACACTAAAACATCTTCAGCTGTCTTGACTCCACTTTAACTATAATTAATGAGCCTATAACATGTTCAATTAAGGACATTAGAATAAAGCAATATGAGCTACAGAGGGAAGAGGTTAATAAACAATCAGGAGCACCATGAGGGGCTTTTGTCACTGGGTCTCATCACCCCTCACAGGACACTGCCCCCACCACCCATTCCAACTCTGTGCTTCCTGTACGTCAAGACCCCAAGAGAAAATGGAAAGGACACTTACTTTTAACTTGCTTTTTAATGCTTTTTGTGTTGTCCAGCCAATGCTGAAAAATAAATTAATTTCACTGAATTATCAATTAAGAATTCTCCCAGAAAGAACAAAAAAGGAAAGAAACCCCTATTTGTTAGTGAAGACAATCTTGGAATAACAAGTAGTTTGTTAAAACAATCTAATCCAAATCTTTCACAATTCACAGCTCTCTCTGTGCTCACTGAAGATTCTTTTGCTCAAAGTTTATAATGCAAAATGTCAGTTTTGAACAACATCCTGTAGTACCTTATTTAAAGTCAGTCCTCGAGAATGTGTTTTCTACTTAAAAGAAAAGAAAACCATTCTAACAAACCACTTCACTAAAATTTTCATCCTGCCCAAACAAACACTTAATTCACACGTTAGTAGGTCAGCCAGTGACAATGTGCAAGAGAGGCATAAATCATAGTTGGAGACTGGCACTCAGTTGTGTGCGATGTTTACTTGAGGCAGGAAGGGGAGAGACAAAATAAATATTGTTGGCTTCCAGGCATTTTCTTTAGATGACTCAAGTGCAGTAAAAGCAAAGCCATCTATGTCCCACCATTAGGCTCAGCTCTACCTAATTCTCAAAAATCTATTCACAAGTGACATTTTAGCAACTATCACGAGAGGATAGAAGTTACTGCCTCACCTACTAATGCTCATTATAAGCTATATACTACACATGAAGCAAAAATAATGGCCTCACTTCTACTGTGTACAACAGCATGAGAAAAAGAAGCTATAGATGGCAGATTGAGAGAAACACCTACACATATACACTATGCTTCCCAAAATAATTGTATAATATCACAGTGCTGGAGAGTTTACCCCAGAAGTAAAAGCTGGAAATCTAACACATGGCTAGTGGGAGAGATCTTCCCAATGCTGTGCATGGCCAACAGTTCCCTCCTCCAAAGAGGTGACTCAGTTAAACAGGAAACACGGCACCCTAATTCAACATAATTGCATTGACTCAACAGCCAGAGCAAACTGCCTAACACACCATGTCCTGCATAGTTCACCATGCCCAGGGAACATCACCTCATCTGATCAATCCCAAATGTCACCTTGCAACTAATACAGATAAATTATATACTTGGCAACACTCCTTTTTTTAAACTATGTGCCATGAAGTTCACAGAGGGCCCCATAGAGGACAGAAAAGCAACAGTAGTATGAAAAAGAACCGGTATTTTCAGGTTGCAATGCCAAGTGCAAACACATTCCTGTCTTCAGAACAGCCCTGCCTTCTGCAGAGAGTGTGTGAAGTCAGCCTGTAATACAGCTGGGATGTGCAGTGATTGCTCTATTAGCTGCAGATCAGAACAACTGAACCATCTGCTGCTGCTGTGCACACAGTTGAAAATGCTCTCATTACCTATTAAAACAAAGTGGCTACAGAAAGCTATCTGAAATGTATCTAATAAATTTTTTAAATAAAGTAGGAAGCTAAAGGGAGAATGAAGTAAATATTTACGTCTATTTTGCTTACACTATCAGGGAAATGAAGTCGAGTGATATTCTTCTCTTTCAGAAAATCATAACCTTTTATCCTATTCCATAAACTCTCTGTAAGAGACAGCCTGCTTACTCCTTCTTCCACCACAAAAATATACAAACTACCAACTTGGAGGCTTGCAGGTGATTTAGATGCAGGAATGACAAAGAGAGCCCTTTCCAGGCTCCAGGACAGGCTGTGCCCGCCTGTTTCATCTCCCTCCCGTTTTCTCTCATCTCCTCCACATTCCATGGGAAGGCAACCAAGAGGCCCACGACAGGCACCGATAGCACTTCATTCTGCTCGGCTCCTACCACTGCTGCTCACAGGAGCTCTGTCTGAATGGTGAGGGTGTGCATGGAAGAAGGGAAACAGAACTGATTTAAAATGGGGGTGGGGGTGAAACAAAAAAAAACAAACCACCAAACCAACACAAAAGTGAACAGACACAGACGTCAAGAAATTCGAGATTTATTCTAAGTGATTAAAATGGAATTCAAGTGGACCTGGCAAAAAAAGTTTACTTTTGATGAGAGTTTGCTCAGCACAGTCTACTGCTGAAATCCAGAGATAAAGTTTGCTAAACAGAAGGCAATACAAACAACAGACTGCACAGGGTACTGGAAGTCCTTACTAAAATAGTTTGCTGCTGCAGAAATTGAAAAGAAAAAATCACATTAAAAAAAAAAAATCAAAATCTCAACCCAGCAAGGATTTTCAAAAAGTTTGTGTAAATGAGGTTTGTTTAATAAGACAGTGAGGCTAAAACTGGTCCCATACTTTATGGAATTAATGGGTTCATACTTAGTGTAATGCTATGCAAATAATTTTCAGCATTAAGCACAACATCAAATAAAACTGCAAGAGTAACAAACCAATGTGTTCTAGAATTCGATTAGGAAAAGCAAGTACCTCATGCTTGCAACCTGTGGGTTTGCATTAGAAATTTGCTTGAATGTTCAGTGCCTCTTAAGCACTAGAATGCCTCTCAAGCATTGCTGGAGGAAAAGTCCAATAGCCCAACAAGTTACCAGGAATCTTCATCTTTTGTATCACTGGACATGCTGCACTGTTCACTGTAACTCAAATTAATCTGTTCCCCTGGCTGCCAGACCAAGTCTGATATATGGTGGATAACCTTGCAAACAGCTCTTTTTGCCATCTCCTGCCCATTACTTGGAAGAGGGAATCCATTCCTAACCATCAGACTACAAGAACACAGAAATCACAAGAAAACAACAATTCTTTCATTCAATTCAACTAACTGTTTCAAGAACTTCTTTAAAAAAGTTATTTGAATACTAAAATCCAAAAAGTCAGGAAGAGTTTATACTGTGTTCCCCCCAAGCCCCAGTGCATCATAAACTCAAACTAGTGACCACTTCAGTAGCAGAAAAGAAGAAAAAAAAAAAGCAATCCTTTAGTGTTCAAAATGGATCCATTGAAAACTCATTTGTAGTCAAGACAAGTGGGAAATTTCTCAAATTTTTGTTTAACTACATGTTGCTAGTTCATGTCAGCAAGTGTAACTAACTAGTTCAGTAATATACTTAGATTTAATGGGGTAGCAGAAAGACTAACTCCTTCGGAGCTAATGGACAATTCTGTCCACAGTAAGGACTTGATTCTTACACTGTTTATTTAACAGGTCTCCTGGATAATCTTTGACAAGTCACTTGATTAGTCTCTGTCTTTGTTTCCAGTTGCAGACTGGGTTTCTGCTAGAACTCGCCAGCTCCTCTTTGCAGGAATGGCTGCTATCGCAACAGTTCTTCGTTTCTCAAAGCAATTAATTATCTCTGGCTGTTGCATTCAGCTCTTCTGGCAAAATCCAGTCTTTTCTGCTTCGTTATACACAGTACATCATTAAGGTCCAGTTTAAACAGATTGTTATCTCTACTCTGCTGCTTTTCAGTCACAGATAGTTAAAAAAAGGAAGCAAACCAAGCTCGAAATCCCCTGTACCTGGTAGACTGTGCAGTATCAAATACTCAATCAGGTGCTGTCAGGACTGGAAGTAACAATTTGCTGGACAAAAGCAAGCCAACAGCCATTGCTGAGGCAGAAAAGATTAACTCTTGTTTCCCCATTTCAAGATGCAATGGCCTTATTTGCTAACATCAGTAGGAGAAAAACATTTATCATACAGATAGTTTCACCAGTTAAAACTAACCTACTCTATGAGATCCTAGAGATGTGGAAATACTTCAGAAGACAGGATACCTAAAACATACAGGTACAAAAAGATAAATGAATGGAGTCATTCACTATCAATACCCAACATCCTGGACTGCACAGGTTTAACAAAATTAACATGATTTTTATAAATATAAAATGGTGTGCAATGAGCTGTTTTCTCATTTCTATTGGTATGCATGGTTCTGAATGCCATCCCTCCACTACTGTAGTGGTCTTTTCCTCCTTAGTGTTAAATGTCTCTGTTCTGTAAGAGGTTTAAGACCAGTTTGCACTACTGGGAACTGCAGCCCAGCAACAGTTAATCCCACTAGCCATGAAGTTTGCTTCAGATCTTGATCACCAGTGATCTTCTCTGAAGAGAATGTTCTCTACAATTACAAGCTAAATATAAAATCTGATTGCTTCTTTGAAAAGAAGCCACCAGGTTATAAATGTGTTTTGGGGCAGGGTACTGTGTCCAAAGCTTCTTTCAAAGATTCAAGTTTGTGGAGTTTTCTGCCATTGTACAAAGCTGTAACACTTATGAGATCACCTTCAAATTGTTCTGGACATGGACCTTCACATAAGTAAAGGAATATAAGTCCTCCATTTTCTATGCTGACCTTGTACAATTCAGATGTTTGGCTCAGCAGAAACCGCCTGTGCTTCCCCTTTGCCATCCTAATCATGAAATAATTCTGAAGTGTCTTTGAAAAACAGAAAATGTTAGGTCATAGATCTAACAAATAAGATTGACATATACAGTATGAAAACTCAGATCTCATTCTACCTGGGGGTGCTGGGCTAAGTGAATACAGGCTTAAGTTATAGGGATGCAGGACAGAGAAAAAACCACTCCTTGCCTAACAGCTCACTTAACTTGGAGCTATCCTTGTGGGCAGGATTAAGTACTTGGCTCTAAGAAGAACCTATATAAAACTGCACAGCCCCCAGGTGAAAGAACTGTGGTTGTTTCTGACAAACAATGCTCTGCTTCTGTTGTCAAAACCCTTCACATTTTTACAAACACAATAAAACACAATCAAATGAGGGCTTGGAAGAACCCTCTACTCAAACTGTCTGGTACATACAAACACACCTATATCCTCCCAACAGTTTCTAGCTGTAGGTCTGAGTAACAACTAATTTGAACAAATCAAAAGTATTCCCCTCCTGCAAGCAAACATTAACAAGATGACTTTTGCTGACGAGAACGTTGATGGCATTGGCAAAGGAAACCTTTCTCCACTCTGTAGAACAACAAAGGGCCAAGCATCTAGTTCTGCCCCTTTCTCTCTGCATCAGCAGCACCACGAGTTTCTAGAAGATGCCAGGCTCTGGGGTCCTGCTGGACCAGCCTGCCCAGTGACAACAAAAACACGCGAAAGACAAGAAAGGAAGAGACAAGAGCATTGTACTTTGTTAGTGCTGAAGGTGGAATTAAACTCAGGGACACTGAAACTAACACACCATGAAGCTTCTGCACAAAACTTAACTTGCAAAAGGTAGCTTTCTTATAGGATTTCTGTCAATATTAAGATTTAACTTTTAGACTGTTGCTTAAACAAAGAGCATTGCTACTCACCGCCACTTGTGCAGAATCCATGAACCTTAATCCAAAGTAGTCGCTTTCTATAAGGTCCAGATGATACATGATCTGTTCAAACAGCAGCTGGCCTTTGGCTTTTTTCTGAAAATATAAAAGGTTTCAGTACTCATCAGGCAGGTTTATTGTGGTATCTACCTTCTTCTAGATATACTTTCTATTCTAATTCCAGTAGTAGGAGAATCACAAAATTTAGCTTCTGAAAATACAATATGGACCTTTTTTCCCCCTCATATTTTTTGATGGTTGTTTTTCTTAAAGGCAAATGTACACCCCACAGGAAGCACAAGAGTGTTAAAATACCATTTTATCATTTTCCCCTCTTAGGATCTCCTTACTCACTGAAATTCAACAGAACTGGAAACACTGCTAGTACAATTGCAATAACTAATGCACTGGAAAATTTTCAGAGCCAAGTACAGGAAATTGCTTATGAATTTACTACTGTTTGATATCTAGGCAATTCACCAGTTTTGAAGCAGGTAGCAAAGCCTATTGAATTAGGATATAGCATTCCATTAGCAAGTGCTTTTAACAGCTACCAGGAAATAGTTTGGGGCAAGCAACTTGAACAAATACTACTTAGATAACACATTTACAAAACTAAGTTCATAAAACTCACTTCTAGGTACAAAAAGCCACCACATATGCTCATACATAGTTTATGAAAAAACTTAGCCCTGGCCCCCAAGGAAACATCATTTTTACAGTGATGATCTAAAAAATTAAGCAGTTCTTTTTAAAGAAAAGGCATATAAGTAGCACCGAGAAGTTTCTGCACAGTATGCATTTTTCATGCTATGAACTCTTTTATAGCAATAAACAGAAAAAATAGTTTAACAGTTATACCTAAGATGTCTAAATGTAATAAAACACATTAATAAATTAGTAAGTTGGAGTACAAGTCATGGTGTTGAAAAGAAATATTTTTAAATGCAAAGAAATGCAGAAAGAATTTAGGCTTACTCTGCAAGAAGCTTAAGGATACCTTTATTTCCATAATGCTATCATCTTGCAATCTTTTTATCCCAATATTTATACATTCACAACTTGAGAAATGGGCTTACTTTCTAAGCATATTTTTAGTGAGCAACTAATTAGCAGATTTAGTCCAACTCTTAAAATTCTGGGTCAGCCAAATTCATATTCTCAGAAATAATCAGGTTTAATCAGCAAGTAATATCTAAGTAAGTAAAGTTGCATGTGTAATTTTTGCCACCTTCCTCTACCCTGATCTTCAAACATTTTATATTTAGCTTTGCAATCCTAATCACTGGTTTACTTCATACTAATACAAATGAAATAAATTCAGCACTTGCCACAGTAACACTGTTTTGCATGAAGCTCTCTGCACCTTGTTTAAAACTAGGGGAAAATCTGCTCTTATTGAGCAGAATGTTTTAGATCCTTCTCAATTCCTCAACAGGTCATCTTTTAAAACTGTAATTAACCAGCTATCTCAGCCAAATTCCCTGTTGGTGACAGGAGCACTTTGACTCAAGCCTGGAATACTGCACATACCATCTCAGACTACCAACAACTAGAACCAAATTTCTGTAGCATCAAGTTAGTTTCACAGTGTGTTCACCATTTCGGTCATCTCAGCAGAGGACTCGAAGACTAAGTGGATCCAGAATAACTAATGTGGGAGAAAGTCCCTGAAGCAGTGCATCGGCTGTGGAAAGATTTGCAAGGCTACTTGTTTTCTGACTTAAATCACCAGGGCTGTCAACATGGAGTTCATTATGTACTACTCTGCATGTGAACTAAATCATCACCAACTGTATTTGGTGCAAGTCAGCAAAAGTGTCACACATTCTTTACTTACTGCAGTCTCTCCTCCTTATATTTAAACAAACGGCAGGCAAAAATATTATTGATTTGTAACCAGTCAATTTTTAGGAATCAAAATTAGTTTCTTTGTATTCAATGAAACTGCGACATCAAGTGTTTTTAAAAAGCTACACTACAAAAAGACACATTTTCTTGTGAAAAATTGCCCTAATTTTTAACGGCAACATTCCATTTAAGTGACACTTATCCTGCCGCTAACCCCACGTGCTCCCCCCCCTCCTTTCTTTTCCTTGCAGCAGAGCTCAGGTTACTCTCAAAGGACAAATATTTTCAAACTGCTTAATGGTTATCGATGAACTATTAACGACTCCACTCACAAACAGTCCAGTCAGTGGCTGGTCCTCCCTTCTGGGCACAGATTAAACTCCTCACGGGTTTACAATTCAGTAAAACCTGACTACTTGATTTACACGCTTTGCTATTCTCTGTAGGAAGCAACAGTAACCACTTCACAACAACAGGAAAACTTCAATAAAATATATCATATATATATATAAGGCTATATATCTAGTGGTTTTGCCACACTGTGGAATGAGATAAAAGCATCTTCTGATTACTTTGGTATGAATCGCATGGCCCCCGCCCCCCTTCCCCGAATGAAAGGGATGCTCCCAACTACGTCCTAATGACACCTCCTGCTGTTCTTAATAACTGCAATTGCTGGCTGAGTAGGTGTTACAAAGGCCGGGCTTAACCCCGGTAACTCAGCACTGAGGTTGAGTGTTCACCCTGGAGCGCTGGTTTGTCCCTTCGTTGCCGGGATAAGGTGACTTGGAGACATCCACCTCGACTCAGGCACCTCAGTCACTGCCTTAAACTTGAAGAGCAGCATTTATACTCTCCTCTCACAACCTGCCTCACTGATGTAAAAGCCATTTTCAGCACTAGAGCAGCCAATACAGACCACCACTGGTGAAGGAACACGGGCTTACAGCAGCTGGGCATGAGAGCTTGTGCTGGGTGGGCACCAGCTGAACAGCTCACTTCTTAAGGTTTTTATTAGGTTTTTAATCACAGAGAACTCTTTTTTTCTAAAACTTGAAAAAAACAAACAAACAACAACAAACCAACCAAAACGCCCACCTAGTTAATTTACTAACTAAAATGCTTATCAGAAAAGGATTTTCTCCTACTTATTTCTTTTCTTTGTGAAGAAATGGAAGTCCCTATATAAGACAAACTGAAAAAAAGAGATCAATAGACATTACCTTCATGGTGACTTAGTATCCCTTGTGGTTTTGGAGCATTCCTTTCATTCAGAAGATTTCTTTAAATGATTAAGTTAATATTTCTTATTAACAGTAGCAGCCATTGCATCCAGTAGCTGTCGAATAGCAAAACCCTCCCTTCCTAGTTTTTGTCAACTTATCAGGAGGGTTACCATTCATATGCATACCAGTTTCCTTAGAAATACCCTGTTTACACACACCCAGGGCAGAGATGGATCCCCACTCAGAATTTACAGCTACTCAGTTGCTAGGATGTCACCTCCGCATGTTTGCAGACCAGAGCAGTGCGGAAGCAGCAGATGAGCCTCTCCACTTTTTAAAGGAAGTAAATCCCCTTCTCCCAAACAACATGTTTCGGGAAAAAAAAAAAAAAACATGAGAAAGCTCCAACAGTGAACTTTAAAGGAAAAAGATTTCATCTCAATATCATGCAAACGGTGTCTATAGTTAACACCATTAAGGTTTGCTGGAGAACTGGAGGGTCAAAATCCCTTATCTTTACAAAGGCAGTGTTAGAAGTACACATTATTTGTATCACCCTGATCTTCTTAGGGCTTTAAGCACTGACCTACAAATGGAGCTGCTCCTCTCCTCAAACTCCAAGCACTAGTCTTTCAAATAACTTTTCCAAACTCCCCAGCCAATTTTCTCCTTCATCTAAAGATGCCACTGGCAGCAAAACAGCAGTTCTGCTTCTCTCTCTGGTTTATCTCCCATCTTTGACAACATGTGCCATATACTCTTGTGAATATAAAGCCTTGCAGCCTGAAGGCTGCAGAGAATTTCTACCTCCAGAGACACAGCTTATCAATTCTTCTGTTTACTCAACCTCTCACAAATACAGAAAGATAATCATTTGTGATTAAACATTTTATTCTGTTATTCTCCGGAGAAAGAAAAAGGCATTTCTCAAAAATCTTTATAAAGAATTGATTTCAATACCCATCATTACTGTCCATTTATTAGAGTGCTATGTAGAAGGATTTTAATGTACTGTGCTCAGTCTTATTGAACCTATTACATAAAAAGACAAAGACTCAAAACATTCATACTTGTCAGTTTGTTTTGTGGAAGTCTCTGTTTCATCTCCCTGAAAGTTTATATCTTCCAGCTGATTTACCCCATTTTTGAATTCTTTCTGATACAGAATATACCCAAACTGCTCGCCCAGCATTAGGGTTTAAATGCCTCCCTGCAGTATATTCTCAAACATTTCAGTTTTACTTGGTGTTCCACCTGCAGGTTTCTCAGGAGCACTCTGATTAAGAGCATTCCAGAGCCTCAAGTCCTTGAGCTCTTTTGCAGGGGCAATTCAGCAGGAAAGCAGGGCTTCAGACAAAATTCACTGTTACACTGTTGAGTTAAGAATGCTGAACCTTGAGGCAACTACACTGGCCTGCAGCACCATCCCCAGAAACACTCTGGCAGCACACTGCAGGCCAAACGATTCACTCTGGTAGCAACCACAGCTTGCTTCCAGCTGCTCCCTTCCTCGGATCACAGCAAGGCTGAAATGCTCACCTGCCACTAACCCCAAAAGCCTGGACTCCCAGCAGGACCCGGGGCAGGCAGCCTGTGACTCTGCAGCTGCTCACATGTGCTCAAACAACTCAGCGAGTCCTGCCTATGTCTTACACTCAGTCTCACTGTGCATTTAAATCTGGCAGCCCAGGAAGCAAGGGATCACCCTGCACTACAGCTGGAGCCCCTCACAGCACACAGATGGCACCTCTGCTTCAGAACACTCGGCTCAGGACTGATTTGTCCAGGTTCAGTTCCCTAAAGGCCTTTCAGTAGTTTAAGCAAACCCTCAAAAGCACATCAATAGTTTCAGACAAAAGACCACATGGGAAAAAAGTTTTAATCCAAAGCTTTATAGCCTTAACACACACATAGGGGCATGTTCAAATATTTGTGTCCTTACTACGTCTGTCTGCTGAGCTTTATTTTGAAAATTTAAAAGCCACCCTTGAACACTCAGAGTACTCATTTTATTTGATGACTGATTTTCCAACATTTTTAGTAGTATTAGATTTTCTTGTTAATCAGCATCTGTGCGACAAACAGCATTATGTATTTCATATTTACAGCTTCAAATATTCATCAAGTGGTCGTAAGTATTCAAAAAGCTCTTTAGAAAAACAGAGTGGATTACTGAGTAAAATCAAGTATCATAATACATCTCTGATCTTGTAGTCAGATCAACACAGATCATCTCTCTCCAAACAAAAAGCCATTGGCACTCATTAATGATTTTTGCTTCCCAGATAGATTTCTTTTTTTAAAATAATCACTACAAATACAGACCTTTTTTATCTTATTCCGTACTCCACAACTCTAAACAGCTCATTTCCACTCTTCCAGAGAGCTCTTGGATTGGTTTGTACAAGACCTTGTTTTAATGATACTTCATTATAATAAGGACAAAAACATCTCGTTTTGCAATCTCCATATCAAATTTCACGCATGCATAAGTAAGGAACATTCCAAGATGAAAAGCTACTCAGGGAGCATCCATTCTCATAATTCGTGTCTTTCATCTTATACCACTAAGAAGCTTTTACCTAAAACTTAGGTTGCACTTGCAGAAACTGGAATACAATTAACATTCTATTATCCATGAGATTATGTAAATTGTGGGTTAAGCAGGGTCAGCTTCTTTTACCGAAACACCCCTGGCTTCCACAAAGTACAGTGCTGCTTCTACAAGACCCTGTACTTACTATCCGTCACTATCGTAAGCTGACCTTGTTTCTCCACAGAAAGCAATCCACTAATTTTAAAAAAGGTGCATATTCCAAGTGTATGTATTTATTTATGTTACCTTTTCTCCTCTCTATCTACGTTATCTTTTCCCTCTCCAAATTAGTGTTATGAATAGCATAGAATTGACTATCTCTACAACAAATACTCAGTCTTAAGATATTTTGATTTAAAAATCCTCTGGAGATCTCTAGTACTCAAAACAGAACTTTATTTGAAATTCTTAACAAACATTTTTGTTCCCAAGTATTTCACAAGCTGTCAGTGACCCCAGTGAAAAACAGCTTTCAAGGAAAAACACTGCTACGAGCTTCCCCCCTAACCTGTCTTTCCCCACAAACCATGACCACCAGAATAACCAGTATTCCAGAGGCTGAGGGGTTTCCCTGGGAGACCAGATTGGTATGACTAAGCTGATGGACTCTTCAGGTGGCAAACCAGGGCTGTCCATGGCTTTTGAATTTTGGGAATTCCAGAGGTTCAGTGGGGAAAGATGAGTTTAGTTTCACATGGGAACAGGATTAACAGTAAGATAAGGGATGTCAGCAAACGAGTTCTTGTCCTCTCACCACTCATATCACTCAGCAAACATTCCACCCAAGGATCTTAAAAAATTTGAAGAAAAAGCATAACCCAACTTTTATCCAAGTTGAACAAGGCAAATTAACAGTAAAGCAGAATGTATAATGAACATCAACAGCAGCAGTTACAACCAGCATCTTTTGTATACAAACTTTTTCTAGATTAACAAAATAATAAGCTTCTTAGTGTTTCACTAAGCAGATAATTCTGTCAAAATCACTGAATGCATTTGGACAAACATAAAGCTTCAAAAGAGTGGTAACAGATGAGGAAAATTACCAGGTCAAAACACAACTTTACATCTGAGAGGAAGGTGTGGGAAAAAACCTGACACCTTTCGATCTGCCCCAAAAGAACACTGATAACTGGTGTGAAGTTCATGCCTCCCACTTTGAACATACCAAAGTGTCAGTAAATAGTATACATGACACTGATATTCTTCAGTCTTTGACACGGCTATGAAATGAGTAGATTCTTAAAAAGAACCCAGTCTATGCGTTGTGTACAACTGTGGCTTTGATGAACGGTTCAAGTCAGGCAGTTTTGTAATTAAAAACAACAGAAGAAATAGAAAAGCAGACAGATTAAGTGGTTTGACAGACACCAGAGATAAGATCAGTGGACAAAAAGCAGAGTTACTGCTCAAATCCTGGCTCAGTGTTTAATAAATTAAATCTCAAATGCATCCTTTACAATGTGTCCCTTCTGTCTCATTGTCAATATTCGTAAATCATCAGTCTTTGGTGCTTAAAAACTCTGAAGTGTGTTTGCCTTAAGTGTTCCTTGTGGTCGGGTTCTTTTTCCTTGTCTTTTTTTTTTTCTAATTTAAACAGAAATTCAGCAATCTCAGATTCAATCATATGAATTGAATACTCTTCTCAGTAGCAAATTGACTGTAAGGATACAGCTCAAGAGCATTTTAAGCAATCTTAAGCCTGGTATCACCTCTAAATGCTTCCTCACCACATTTGGGGAGGCACATGGGGAACCAGATTGCAGAATCACTCCAGCTGGAAACTAACATAACAAAATTATACCGATTATTTTCAGCCACAGCATTTTCTTGACTTAGCTTACTGCCTGGCTGCCAAAAAACTGTTTCTTCTGCCAAGGGGTACACGAAAACAAGGACAAACGCAATAACGAAAGCAACATCTCTTCTTCCTGTGGCAGCAACAACTTATGCCACTGTAAAGTATCTGCGTAGCCATGGATTTAAAAAGGTATGGCACTCATTCCTGCCAAGGCAACTCTTTCCCTGGCTGTGAACTAACCTGTTTGCTAAGTGACTCATTCTTAGGAAAAACTTTGTTATTTATTTTTTTTTAATAAAACAACTTCACAGCACTTAGGTAGACAATGGGAGTGTGCACAACTGAACTGGCAGACCAGAGAGCACCTCTTTGAGATAAAGAGCTCATTTTAAAGCAAATCTACTGCCAACAGAGTAGCAGAACCAGTCTTGGAAAAGGTCGTAGTTCAAAGAGGACAAAGATTCCCAAAGAAAGTTTTTTTAAAAGAAAAAATATATATACACGTGTATTTTTAATTTAAGCTTTAGATTTTGGAAAGCAATGTTGTTTTGCCAAGATTTTGTACCCCACACTTCATCCCCTGTTCCCCTACCTTTTCTTGCTTTCCTCTTTAAGAGTCAACCCCAAAATATGAACGATGCACGTGGAGAAACAAGAGTAAACACTTTAAGGAATCTGAAATTAAACATTTAATCTACTTTTATTTTAATCACCAAAGAAACTGGTACATATCAGTCACTGACGATGCACTGCAACTACAGCATCTGGCTACATTGATTTAGCATATTTGGTACTGTTACTCATAACTTAGATTTCCACAGTCAAGGTTTTATATTGGTGTATAAAAGAAAAAGCAAAAGTGAAAAAAGTTTCCTGTAGAAATAAATAGTTGCTATTACACCCTGGTCTATATTTTATAGTCCAGGTGGCAGGTCGTGACACCTCTTCGGGTTCAATTTACGCTCCTCAAAGCCTTAGAAATGTTGTTAGAGCCGCCAGGAATTTGCCTACAGAGCCAACTCCAGCTCCAAAGATTACTGCTCTGATTATGTAAAGACACCAATTTAAACTTGAGTACTTTTTAAATGTTAACTCTTGCTATAAAGTGTTTGTGGGCATTCCTGGCCTCAAATCAAACATCCTAGGCACTAAGCACCACTGGATATGTTCATTACATTGCTTCAGAGATGTACAAATTAGTTTTACTGCCCTCTATAAACACCTATCTCTATAGTCATTTTGCAAATAAAGATGCCAAAGGGTTTCTCTAACTCTAGATTACTTGGGGTTCTGGATATCACAAGAGTAATTTCTGCTCACTACATCAAAAAGTTGACTTCCTCACACTACCCAAACACTCCAGAATTGCACTTAAAATAAGAAAGAGAAGAAAGAAAAGCCATTTCAAGACTGCCTGTTCCACATGTTCTTTCTAGTCAGCAGTTCCAACACCAGCACCCCTGTGACTGCAGCCAAAATCCCATGGAACTAGTCAGGTCTCGCAGATCCACAGTTTCCTAAATTCCTAATGCTCAGCTCTTGGAGCTCAAAACAACTCACTAACAACTATAACACACGGTAATGGAAAAACAGAGCACATGGCTTCTGTTGTTACTGCTCATCCTGTTGGCCAAAACCAGGTATATAATTAGGTAAGCAGAACAGGCACGTGCATATTAAAGAAGCTTTAGAAATGTAAAATAGTGGCTAACACCTCACTCCCAATAAAACACTGTGCTATGAGACAATCCCTGCTTTATAATCTGCCCGGAGGAGGGGAAGGAAGTAGATTTTTTCCTGTTCCCCTCCCCTCTCAAGTTAGAGTTAAAAACTGCATCCATCTCTGACACAGAACCAAGACAAACAAAAGCCACACAGAAATTACTGCTCATACTTCTGCTCATCCCTGCTCTTCAACAGTTACACCAAGAGATTTACCCTCCTTCTCAAGATAGATAGCTCACCAAAAAGAAAATCCAATTCATCCCACGTTACTCTCTCTGAGTTAAGCCTTGGCACAACAACTACATTAACACACTAGAAAGCGTTCAAAGGCTCGAAGGCATGTAACAAAACACTCTAGTTTCAGTGAATGATAAGGTTAACTATTCTCTCAGCACCTTTTAACGACCAGTAACTTGGCGAACACCAAGCCTGCAACGGCAAATAGCTGTGCTGTTTGTGCAGACAGCGAACACCACAATCACACTGACACAAGCCAACTGTATTTAACAAACAAACTCGCATCGCTCGTACCGGCAGGTCCACGCTGACGTCCGTCCCGTCCAGCAGC